AATATACAGCAATTCATTCATCAACTTTAGATATATCACTTTGCACTTAATTTGATTTACTGCGACAGTATATTCATTTGTGTCTCTATTCTCAAAGATGGTGAAGACATTACATAAGGCTTGTATGCAGTACCTGACCTGGAAACCACGCAACAACCCAAACTACAAGCCATGGATTTATCCAGAGCAGATCAGCATACCTCGGATAGCATTTAGTCAGGTAGTTTTCTGGGCTTTGTGTCTTGTGTATGGTTTTTCTTTATTCTGTTATGATTACTGTTATTTTGTTATTGGTACTATTGTAACCATTGTTATTGTTTATTATTATTGTTATTATTGATATTATTATTGTTATTATTGATATTATTATTGTTATTATTGATATTATTATTATTATTATTATTATTATTATTATTATTATTATTACTATTACTACCATTATTATTACATAAATCCTATATATGCATTTTATATCAAGTTTACCAAGATCAACATTAATGGCATAGTGTAAAATATGAACCAAAAGAAATTAGAGATGTTATAATTTATGACAAAAGCTGGTATTTATGTGTCTGGCTTATAGTGGTAGAATTGAAGTATTGTAAGTAATATCGAAGAGAGTTATAAATATACTGATATTAATTTCTTCCCTTTTTTTTTTCCTATGATTTCAAACTGCTTTGGATTATTTCTCTGATATTATTTTCTCACTTTCCCAGTGCACCAAGAGTCCTGCTGACGACATGGTGGAAATGCTTGATGAGTCAGACATTGACGAGAAGGCGTTGGAGCAATTGAACCACAGCCATTTTTAACCTGCTAATGTCCATAGACTGGCAAGAAGACAATGTGATATCTTTCTTTATAAAGTGAAGATTTGTAAGCAGCAAATGATGATACTTATGAAATCACCATAAGATGGTTTTCAGGGTTTTTTTAGCATCAACCCACTACTTCACAGAAAGCAGGCTTTGAGATCAAGAAATTTTAGCATTTTATGATAAAGAGTCAGTCTCTCTCTCTCTCTCTCTCTCTCTCTCTCTCTCTCTCTCTCTCTCTCTCTCTCTCTCTCTCTCTCTCTCTCTCTCTCTCTCTCTCTCTCTCTCTCTCTCTCTCTCTCTCTCCCTCTCTCCCTCTCTCTCTCTCTCTCTCTCTCTCTCTCTCTCTCTCTCTCTCTCTCTCTCTCTCTCTCTCTCTCTCTCTCTCTCTCTCTCTCTCTCTCTCTCTCTCTCTCTCTCTCTCTCCCCCCCTCTCCCTCTCCCTCTCCTTCTCTCTCTCCCTCTCCCTCTCCTTCTCTCTCTCTCCCTCCCTCCCACTTTCTCTCCCTCCCAAACTCCCTCTTTCCCTCCCCCTCCTGCTCCCTCCCTCCCTCTCCCTCCCTCTCCCTCCCTTAAATTAGAATCTCTTTATGTAGGAAGAAGGACAACTTATTTATTCTAATTATTTATATGGTATATATTTTTATTTACATTGGTAGTCATACTTTGTGTAGATAGGTTAATTCACAGTGATGTTTTTGTGATCTCTTATTAAGGTGTTGGTATAATACTGTATTTAACCAGTTACGAGTTTTTGAGTTTCTCTTCTTCTTTTCATTCTTTTGGCTTTTTTCTCTTTCCTCTTTTTTTCATTTCTCATCTCTTCTAATCTCATCTCTATTTCTTTTTCTCTTCCCCTCTTTTCCTCTCCTTTCTGTCTTTTTCTTTGTTTCTGTAGCTCAGTGATAGACTTCACTTAGTTTGTAAATCAGACCAAGCAATTTCACTAAATTTATTAATTTTAGGTATGGACTAGTATTCCTTTGTCTGTTTTTACCAAATCTTAAATATTAATAGATTGTTGATTTCTGGCCTGATACGATGATATAAGATATATATGTACTATTTCATTCCCATAGTAATGTTGTTATGGGTAATTCCATTTATTGATCTCTTTCTAATGAATATCATAATTTCTTTTTTAATTCCAAAATATTTTTAACCCAATCACTACATATTTATGTACTGCCCCTTGTTTTTTGTGACTTTTGTTACATACAGATGGCTCCACGTGTGCTCAACCACCAAAGAGTCTATCAGTAGGCCCTAGTGACTACTCCTGATTTCCCAATGCCTTGAAATTGTGGAAAAATGCATTTTTCTTTCTAATACTATTAATATCAATACTGTTATTTTTACTGATATTAAGATTATTAAATTGTTATTAAATTTTTGGTTACATTAAAGACAATGAAATAATACAAAAGAAACTTTCCAAAAATCAAGGAAAATGGTAAAGAGGTGAAATAGGTTGGGCTAATAACTAACTCCTTAGTGATGAAGCACTTGTAGAGCCATCTATGTGTAAATACAATAAGTAAACTTATATTACAGTGGGCATGGCATGTGTTCTTGTCATACGTGCCAATTGGGTTAATACTGGTGTCATTTCAGCGATATGCTTAATGATTCCATAGGCAAAGGTGCCTGATTACTGATATATTGTTAAAGAGTTTGAGCCTATCTGATGCGGAGAGCTAGTAGGACCCCTTCTATTCTTACCACTTCAGGGGAGGTGAGGCTACAAGTCCTAAGACATCTGCCCACCTCATTTATCATTTCATCCAAAGAGTTTCACACTGGGATTTCTTCAAGACCTAGTAGTGCTTTACCAAATATTAGTTTTAATTTGAAAACTTTAGTGATATATTTATTTGAGAGCTTTATTTTCAGTTTGGACCAGAAGTCATATCATCAACTTTATTATTTACAAATTTACAGTATTTAATATCTAAGCATGTAATTTCCTTTTTTTCTGGAATTATGCATTTCTTGTGGTTGTCATAACTTGATTTTGGAAATGGTTATAGGGTTTAAAGATAGGATTGGTGTTTGTTAAAGTTGAATAGATAAAAATTACTTCTGTCAGAGGAATCTAATATTTCTGTCTGAATTTTTCATTGATTGTCTATGCAAAATATAGTTATCTTTTTATCTTTCTTCCAAGTTATAATATGAAGGGCTATAACATATATGCTTTATGATAACACACACATTTGCTCAGAGTATACTGTTAGAAATTTAGAGAAAGAAAGTCATAGGTATTGGCTGGAAATGACATGGCATTACGAGTTATGTAATGTCAGTATTATAAATGTTTGTGCACATAGCATGTTTTGCAAAGAAATTTGTTGCATGGCCATGAAGTCATGGAGTGTGTGGAAAAGGATGTTAGGTTTCAAAATTTTAGTCCAACATGATTGAAAGATAGGAAAGGCAATTCTACTCATAAACAGGCATTTATTTTTTATGAGTGAACATACCAGTTTAAGGATGTATTTATAGATGAAGTAAGTGTATTGTTTTTGTTTTTTTATCAAAGAGTGAAAAAAAATACATCATTGTCTATCATAATAGATCTGAAAAGAACCTGGGTCGTGCTGTGAAAATTATAATATGTAATATTCTGAAAAGAAAATTGAATATGGTATGCAATTTAATCTAACACATATCTGTAAGTTTTATTGTTGATTTATAAAGTTATGATTTTTCATTAATATTATTATTATTATTATTATTATTATTATTATACTTGTTGTCTCAAAGGGGGTTACATTTTATCCATAATTTACCATTATTTTCACTAGTTGTTTTTAATGATTAATGACAATAAGATTTAATTTTTTTTTTTATTATTATTAATATTTCCACCATTTCCTTCATTTACTTTATTTAGTTTAAAATTATCATTAATATTTTTATTGTTATTTATTCTTAGAATATTGTTATTGTATTCATTATCTGTATGTATTGTTGCTTGTAAATAAATGCAAAATTGATTTTGTTAAAATTGTTTATGCCAGTTACAAGTTCTTGCATTATACAAGTGGCAAGTTACTGTTTCAATTACTAATATGATAAAAGTGCATGTTCTATTTTGAAAGAAAATCATTAGAAGCACAGGTATCACTCACTAAATTGTGCACATTGTAGTTGCAGTTTTAAGAATATAAGATGTTATTCAACTTATTTTCAGTATTCTATGCTATGTTTAATATAAGCAGATTGATAATGGTAACCCTCAGTGATGTAATGTCAATTTGCAACATCTTTCATTTTTATGCTATTAGCTATATGCTAAATACTGGGGTAAGAGCGAGATGTAAGGATTTTTTTTATCTCGGTACCATACCTAGCCTCTGAAGTTGTCAGGCTTGCTTTTATAGAATAATGTCTCGAAATATTGTGCCTTACTTTTCAGATGAGAAGTATCATCATCAAATGATCTGTAATGAATACTCTTAGAGGCAAGGATGGAATCTGGTCACTTTGAAAATAGGTGGTGCTTCAATGCTATTGTGATGGTGGATCATGTGTGATAGTAAACTGTTGAAGCTATAGATGACAGAATCAAGAGGACCTGGTTTGTCATCATGTATTGTATGTATGTTGTGTTGGGTATACCTTTACTGAAATTGTCATTAAAGTAACAGATGTACACATTAGAGAACAGTGATCAATGTCATTATAGTGTGGTACAAATCTTGAGGTCTTGTGTTGTAATTTACAGCTAAAAAAGACAACACCACCATGTGTTTGTTGATAAAAAGACCTTGTTCTCAGAGCACCTCTTGGTGTAGCCAAGATTTACATTCCGTATCATTTGATTTATTAAATGTACCATAATGTAAAAGACTGTACAGTCAAATAATGTATTTTGAAGATCGCTACATGTATTGTACAGGATAGTACAATTATGCAAAAGTGCTAACAGTATCAAATAAGTTATTTTTATGCCCAAATTGTTTAGAGCACATGAACAGATACCAGTAAGATAAAAATTATTTGATTCAAACTAAGAAAACTAGTCATGCTTAAAGTGCAGTATCAATTATTTCTCTATAGAAGGCAGAAACAAGTAAACTGAGAGTCATATACTTCTTGACTGTGTATACAGTAAAGTTAAAGGTTCTTTTGCTAGGAGTGTATAGGTGTAACTTTTGAAAAAAAAAATGTGTTATAGCAGTGTAATATTGTATTTAGAAAGGTAATATGCTATTAATATTACATACTATGTTGAAAGTTTGAACATTATTATTCCAGGATCATTTGAAAGGGTGACATCAAAGACTGATGTCACCTATGCAAGTTATGCTCTGAGAGTATTTTTTCATCAAGAATATTCAGAAATGAAGTATTTAAGTGAAATATTAATAATATGCAGTACAGAAATATGTTTCAAATATAAAATAAAAATTTTACAAGGCTTCATTTATAAAGAAAACAAATAGATAATAAATAGAAAGTTAGATTATAACTTGGTGTAGATCAGGGCTTGTTATTTAGATTGTTGTTTTGACTCCTTTAATTAATCTTTTAGGAAGGTGAGAGTAACAGCTAGTAGTTCCAAGTTTAATGTGTTTTAGATAATAGCTATCTTTGTTAAAAATTTCATTGAAGAGCAGCCTTTTTCTTTTTTAACATGAAACATAGCCAAAGCTTTTACTTATAGTTCTAAATGTTAATGAAGACAAATGGTATGTTAAACACTGCTATATGCAGAGTACAATATCTATAACAAGGGCTCCTTAAAAAAAAAATGTGTATATATATTCTGAGTATGCATTGGCTGTTCATTTTTTCCCATAGTAAAGCTCTTCTTGCTGGTCATTCACTCATCTTTAAAAAGAACACACAAAATTGAAGGGCTTTCCTTGTCAGTACCTGTTTCCTGGCTGCCATTTTCAACCAGAGCAGCAGTGCCAGGGCACATTATCATTGCCTGTGCTGTACACAGATGTTTTAAAAATGTAAGGTTACTTTGAAGACCTTACCATTATATTCATAGATAAGCATATTAATCACTGAGTACAGCAGGCTGTGAGCTAGCCTTACATTTTAAATATAACTTTAATAACTTTCTTGAATAACTATCTACATCATAATTCTTTAACTAAATCTGCTTTCAACAACATACTTTATTCATATTACTTGAATACTTAATCTCCCAGTACTTAGCATAATTATACAGGTGCTGCTTCAATGCCCATTCTGACTTTTGAAGTACTGCAAAGAACAGATCAGAGAAATTATCTATTATCATTATCTTTCGTGACTTAGAGACCTCTATTTTTCTTTCTTTCTTTCTTCCTTCCTTCCTTCCTTCCTTCCTTCCTTTTCATTTTCTTTCTTTCTTTTTTTAACTGTATCCATTTAATATGTCTTAGAGAAATGTGACCCTTTGATATAAAGAGAACGTGTTCTGTGGTTGATGTTATTATGTTCTTGTAGGTTGTGTTGTAAATGTAAGTAGCTTTTTGCATTCCATTTCTGTCTACTGACATTAATTATACTACATTTTTGTGACTTGAATCTATGTACGAAAATTCTTACTTGAGGAAGCTTACAGTCTCTTGTACTGGGAAATGTAAAGAGGTTCATGTTTGGTGAGTTATCTGGGTTTGAAGTCTTAGGTTTTTTGTTGGAGGAGGTTTTATTTGTCATTATCACTTTTTTTCTCTGATAATGTGTTCATGACCTGGCAGAAATAATGGGTTGATAAAAAACAATAAATCTGTCTGAAGAAACTTGTGTTTTCCTTGATGTTCTTCTTTTCTGTTTCTATTTTGTTTCCTTGTTTCCCAGATACCCGCATGGTATAAAAAGCTTTGAAAACTGTTTTTGTCCTCACACCTTTTGACATATTCTTGTGTACTCCTGTTCATATAACAAAATAACAAAATAAATTTTAGGGAAAATCTCATTTACCTTTCACTTATCTTTAAACAGTTTTAGCAAAGATTATATGCATGTGGTCAGGCAGGCATAAAATTTCAATCTAGGGAGGGGTGATTATATGTTCCAAAATAAGCATGAAAATTAAAAAAAAAAAAGTATATATATTATAAGTATTGTACTCAAGTGTGTATATACATTCAGACACTTCATTAACCATAATGGATACTGTAACTGAACCCATCACCAGGTCTCAGCTGACAGATTTTGAGATGAATATCATAATGGTTAAGGTTGATATTAAGTTACTGAGTACAGATTAATAAAAATAGGTTAAACAGTATCAGCTATATAATACCATCAAAGATATAATCTTGGGAATAAGAATAATACCATGTGTGTAATTCACAAACGACTAGTTTCTAATTCTGAAATACCATAGTGTAAAGTCCCATCAAATCCGGTGTCATTCCAATTGAAATTCTTAATGATACTCTAGGTCACTTTTATAAGGCTACTGAACATGAAACTTACAACAGAATAAAGATAAAAATCTACTGTTGATTGAAGCAGGATTATTTGCGTAGTATCAGATGTCACCTATGATGGAATGGTAAAAAATTAAATATAATTGATCTATTAGCAGAAATCTTTTACAGTACAGACTATCTGCTTGCATGTGAAATTGAAAAGAGGTATCTTGACCACACTCTGTGTGTATGTGTGTATGTGTGTGTGTGTGTGTGTGTGTGTGTGTGTGTGTGTGTGTGTGTGTGTGTGTGTGTGTGTGTGTGTGTGTGTGTGTGTGTGTGTGTGCGTGTGCGTGTGCGTGTGCGTGTGCGTGTGCGTGTGCGTGTGCGTGTGCGTGTGCGTGTGCGTGTGCGTGTGCGTGTGCGTGTGCGTGTGCATGCGTGCACGCGTGTGCGAGTGCATATGTGCATTGCATGTGTACTTGTTGATGTTAGTCCCGTCAGTTTTTCCCTTTTCTACCCAATATATACTTCATCAACACTACAGCTAATTTTTAAAAATAAATCACGACATAGAACATTAATGATGACACCGCATCTGAATTCAAGTGATTAAGCCAACAGAAAAATATTGGGCTTTATCTCTCTCCATAATGGAAAAATCGCTGTGATAACACGAATGTGTGGAGATATGAAATGTAGCTTCCTATAATAAAACTGAAGCTGATAACAGTGCTTGTTTTCTGCTGAACCTGTTTTAATCATCCAATCAATTATACCCCCCTCACCCCTTGCCCGTTGTTGTCGGGGGGGGGGGGGGGCGAAGACTGGGACCCAATGCTGGGGAACTCCCCTTCCTTGGGGCTCGGCCCTTGACTCAACTAATTTTGCATGGTCTTTTTTTCCCTCCAGCTTTTTCTTTTCCGTCCCTTGCCCAACTCCTTCTACTATCCACTTCCTAAGATGCGAGAGCCGTGCAGAAAGGATGAAAGGCTGACTTTGTGCCAGTCCTGAACGGCCTGATGGAGCCATGGGCACGGTATTCCTCAGTTTTAGTTGTCTAGCCCTTACCCCTTAAGAGGACCCTGAGGGGTGGACTGTTTCTCTCCTCAATATACTCTAGGGTTACCATGGGCAATAATGAAGATTTTATACCCTTATTAGGGGCAATGAGGTTTACTTCTTCATCAAATAGTCCTAACAATTTAAACTATCCCGATTCCCCGACCCCAGGTTCTTTAACCAGGGCTCCGAACATTGCTACTCCCTCCTCAATGCCTACTAATACATTATCGACCCAAGTCAACACTCAGACTTCTGGGGACATTCCTACTCTCCCAACATGCTCATCTTCAACACCTCTACCCCCACAACCTTCTTCATCAGCTACCTCATCCTCCCCCATTACTCCTTTACAGCCTTATTGCCCACCTATCCATAATTCTACCTCCCTCAACACTACTCCCTCTTCGTCACGCCCCCATCCTTCTACTACCCCCATCTCTACAAATATCTTAAATACTCTGTTTAGCCCGGTCAAATGGGACCGATTTTTCGTGATCCCTCCCACAGCTCCTTACTCTGACAACGCCCTTCTTTTCCAGCAATGTCATCAAAAACAAGTGGGCAAAGTCTCTTTCCGTAGCCAACCGGATACTTCCTGTCTCGTCACAGTAACATCCGAAAACCAAGCTATAGCATTATCAACTCTAACTGATCTCTCTGGTAACCCCATTCCTGCAGAAACTCATCCAACCCTCAACACTTGTACTGGAACTGTCTCTATCTCCCCAGCAAACTGCCCTATCTATAACAAAAAATGGTCAGATTGTGGAGAAGAGTTACTCGCCTGCCTCACGGACTATGATGCGATATCAGTACAGTGCTACTCTATTCCCCCGAGAGATCATCGTAAGAACTCCACTAATATTGCCAAAATTACTTTCCATAGACATGACCTTCCCTTTAATGTTCATATCTCCTCTCCGTCTGTGCCAAAGGTGTTACCGTTCCACAGCCAGATGGCCTCCTATGTGCCCAACCGGGTCATACTCGATCAAACTGTTCTGCACCGTCACGCACATGTGCCAGCTGTGACGGCCCCCATAATGTATTTTATAGGAGCTACCCCACTTACAAATTTGAGTCAGAGGTAGCAACTCTCAGATTCAGACTTGGACTCACTCTACGTGAAGCTAGACAGGAAGCACGTCGGCGAAGTTTTCCTCTTACTCCCTACTCCAATAATGTCGCTCGCTCTCATTCCTTATCTCACCCCCAGCTCTTTCCCCTTCAGATTCTCCAATACGCACTATAACCGTTATCACTCATATATCAACTAAAGTACAACTCTCCTACATTGAAATATTCGCGGTTTCCGTTCTCACACACCTGACCGTCATATTCTGTCTTCGTATAACCCATCCATTATCTGCCTGCTTTGACAACCTGCTCTCCTTCCTTCAGATGCATACATATCCTTCACTTGATATAACCCCTTTACCTATCCCGACCATAACCCATTCACTTTGCCCAGTTTTAACCTTTTCACCATTAATCTAAATAGCTGACGTGTAGCAACTAACCACAAACTCAACCGCTCTTCACCAGCCTTCACCTTCCTATAGTGCTACATGACCTTAGATGTCTAGCACATTTATTTTGCTTTTAACCATTAACCATTAACCAATCTATTATATTTTTGCATGTTTTAAAATAAGATAATAAGATAGTCACCGTCTCATATGAAACTGATAAAAAGAAAAAAAGAAAATATACATATATGCATATATATATATATATATATATATATATATATATATATATATATATATATATATATATTATATATATATATATATATATTTTTTTTTTTTTGAACAGCCATTCATTCTCTCAATTCAATTCACTATTGAGAGGTTATATGGCAGTGTCACCCTTGCCTGATTGGATGCCCTTCCTAATCAACCACGGTTCGGCGTGCTATACATATATATATATGCATGTCATATATATATATATATATATATATATATATATATATATATATATATATATATATATATATATACCTATTAATTCTCATGTCGTGGGCAAGTGAAAACACACACACACACACATATATGTATATATATATATATATATATATATATATATATATATATATATATATAGAGAGAGAGAGAGAGAGAGAGAGAGAGAGAGAGAGAGAGAGAGAGAGAGAGAGAATGTATGTATATATATATGTATGTGTGTGTGTGTGTGTGTGTGTGTGTGTGTGTGTGTGTGTGTGTGTGTGTGTGTGTGTGTGTGTGTGTGTGTGTATGTGTGTGTGTGTGTGTGTGTGTGTGTGTGTGTGTGTATGTGTGTGTGTGTGTATATATTTATTTAATTATCATTTCACCAGGTTATTATCAACGGTATTGTAGTTATCAGTGTCACTATTGTTATTACTATTAGAACAAGATCCCAAAGTCCGATTAGTATGGATTCCTCACAACAGCATATGGTACATGAGACTGTAGACACCCTTCCAATGAAGGCCTATAATCAAGGTTATAGTGATACACATATTGACCTTCGTGTTACAGTGGTCATATATCCTACCAGTGCTGTTAATAAATCCAAAGGAAATGGATAAACATTTTCTGAAAGACCGTCTGCGATAAAGTATTAATGACATGTCAAGAAAAATGAGATAAATAGATAAGAAAAAAACAATAAATAAATAAATAGCAATAAAAAAGAAAAAAATAATAGACATACAATGTGGCTGCTGCTTGAATACGTCGACGGATATTGTTATATTTGACACTGCTATGTCTATAAATGATGAAGACGAGTAACTTTAAACAGTTGTGTGGTAAACTTACTAAAAGACCCTTTCATTACGTAATATATATTTCGTGACTTCAGCCCTCCTTCAGCAACATCTCGATTTATGTCAGTGTTGTTTACGGACTTATTATTGGCTTTGTCATATCATAATGTTATGATCTTACCGATACAGTTTTGTTTATTTCACTCTCTTATTATTATCATCAGATCGACATCATCACTACATATTATTATCATTAACACCGCCATCGCCATCATTATTGTCATAATTATTCTCATCATAATATTATTAGTATTGTCATTATTGTGTAAAATAATACCTGGCTAGGCAAAGGCATATATATAAAATACTATTGCCAAGCTTGCCAGGAAAAAGTCTACTACGCCGTGTAAAGAACTAAATGCACTAATAGATTTATTCCTCTAGATAAGAAATCGCGTTGCAGGTCAGTATGAAATGGAGAAGTGCGTAGTAGAATCATCGAAAAATTATCACAGAGGTAACCAAAGACGAGCTCTACATTGTTTAAATATTCGGTGTGGCAGATATTCGGATTGGAAGAATGTGAAGAGGTGTTATTGGGTACTTAGGTCAATGCTCCTTTTGTCCTTATATATCGACATAATATCCTCTATACCGACATGATATCCCAACATAGGTAATACCAAAAATGGGAACATAGGCCATATAAACTAAGGAACAGTAAGCGGCCCAGTAGCC